TTTTTTTTTATAGGGTTGTTGAACCTTCGAGGATCAGATATTACATACAATCCAGTATTCTTTTCCTATGCAATGGTGTCATTAAGCAATGTGTATCTATTTATTGATGAAAGTAAAATAACTCCATCTGTAAAAAATCATTTTATTCAGGAAGAGATTGAAGTAAAAATGTTTCCTTATGAGAAAATTCTAAGTGTCCTTAAAGAGCAGGTAAGTCTTGTACTGTTGTGTTGTTCAATTGAATCGTTTATTTCAGAAACCTGTCAAACTCCAAATTCCTCATCTTGAGAAAACTAAGAAAAAGTCTCCCATTTTATCTGATTTCAAAATATTTTTATTTATTAAAGTAGTTGATAAATGAATATTTTTCATGTAAATATGCACTAAAAGGAGTGTCTACCTTCTTGGAACAATAATCTGCCGCTAATGGGCGTTTTAGATGTTGGCGTTTGACAGGTTTCTGAAATAAACGATTCAATTAAAGTAAAAATATTTCACTTGCAATTACATTTAAACTATCCCTAAGCTCAGTCTAGTGTGATTTGTGTGGTTGGCTGGTTATTTTGTATATTTTGATTTTGAATTGTTTTGTACAGGGGTTTTGAAAAATATTTATGCACTAGTAAAATAGATTGGTTTCATTTCTTTCAGTGCATTATTTCATCACAAAATTTTCAGTCCAAACTTGAGTTGTCCTCAAATGTTCAATTTTAAGATGAAAAGTTCTAATGTGTGTCTTTGTGTATAATTTGACACATCTGCCATAGAATTTTGAAAAAGCCTTGACATTTCGACTCCAATGTTTTTTGATTAGCAAGCTTGCATATCTTCAATTATTTCTTACAACATTGCAAATTTTGGGGTATGTTTCTTCTCTTGTGATTGATGTTGGACATCCATTCAATATAAGAAATAATGATTTCATCAAATTTCTTTAATAGCGTTAAAAATGACTGAAAAGAGTTTTGTAAAATAAAACCTAGTTATGTTTTCTTTCTCTTATCTTCTTCATGGAAAGAGAAAGTTATTTAATGAGTAAGTAAATAGTGTAAGTTTTTTTTGTAGAAAAACATCTTTTGAGAATACCCCATACCAAAAACAGGTATTTTTCTTGTATATTTTGTAATCATTGTAAATAATACAAGAATTTTGTAGCAACATTAGTTTTTATTGGATGAGATATTTTTTAATCAAATGTTTTTAGTATCTCTTCATATTAATTTTATCTATATTTTAGAAAATTATATACTCACTTTTATTTTGTGTCTCAAGATTTAAACAAACAACTGAAGACTGAATTGACTTTTAGAAATTTTATAGTAGGCCATCTAATAGATCATAAATGTCATATCGTAAATTGGATTTCACAGTTTCATGGCACAAACTTTTCCTAGTATCCTAGTTTATCGTTTATACTGCACTACTCTAAAAACTATCCATACATTTTGTATCTGAGGACTGAATATCTGAATGTGACATGAGTGGTTCATTTTCTACTGCATTTTTATAGCTGACTGACTTCTTTGGAATATGCCACAGACCCTACTGACACTGCATTCTGATTCAGGCTTGTGCATCTGAGGAAGGGGGTATCTCATATGAGATACATCAGAAACAAATAACTGTTTTCTTTTACTGTTCTTACACCGTAATGCAAAGTTCTATTTGCAGTAATTTTGGAATAAAATTGTAAACAAACTTTGAATTAATGAAGGAAATTTCCTAGAGATTGAATTATAGGATCACTCTTTATAACATCTTAGTTAATTATAGAACATAAATTGCCATTCTTCTAAATGTTGTATTTCATTGCATATTTCCAGGTTTGTGGCTTGAATGTAGCACTGGAACTGTCAAGAACTGTTCCATTGCATCTAAATGCGAGACATTTAGGCTGTGGTAGAGGCAAAACTCTAATTTTATTAAAACAAAAGCACAATCTTTTAGTACGGCAAAGTGTTTCGGAAATATCAGATTTCTAGAGTTCAGTTGCTCATTAATTTTATAAAATATTTCTCTTCTTTCTACAGTATGTGTTATCAATTTTGTTCAAAGTATTATATAAATTCCAAACAAAATGTATTAATCCTAATTTACAGTCTTTAATGATTTTGATTATCCTCAATATTTATTACTTGTTTATTACATGTTACAGGTTTCTGAACAAGAAGGCAAAATATGGATAAGTTCTGATGCTAGTTATGCTATTGCTGCTACAATACCTGAGAAGCTTCGTGTATGCGAGGTCACACCTATAGCTTTGTTGAAATGCATAAAAAATCCAACAGAAATTGAAGGTTAGTTACTCATTTGTAATGTTTGTTAATGTACAGCAATTTCTGATTCTAGAAACTGCTGTAAAGGAGTGAAATTTTTCTTAGATACTTATGTTGTTCTGATGATCTAGGTATGATCAATGCACATATAAAGGATGCTGCAGCCTTATGTTGCTATTTTTCTTGGCTAGAGAAAGAGATACCTAAAGGAACTGTAACAGAAATATCAGGCGCAAGCAAGTTGGAAGAATTCAGGAAGTAAGTTCAGAATTTGATCTTATCGTTGTTTAAGAGTGGCTTTCTCATTACTAAATTCTGTTTCAACTCTACCAAAATACAATTCATGGTTTATTATCTTTAATGTGTTACAAATAATACTATGGAGCATCATGCATAATAATCTGATTTTAATTGTTTGAAGCGATGAGTCAATGAACATATAGAAAGTGTGTATATAGAAACTCACTTCATATAAAACTGGGAACAAATTAATCAAAATATGTTTTCCATTTTTATTTCAATTCTCAAGAAATGCTTGTGATTTAATTACCATTTCAAAAATACATAATTTATGAAATAGTTTTTGATCTTTTTTAAAATTAATTTATTTTTTATTCAATAAGCACATGAAGGTGTCAATATAATTGCAGTTTGGTCTTGGTAATTTTGCAGAGAGCAAGAAGATTTTGTAGGTCTGAGCTTCAGCACAATATCATCAGTTGGTCCTAATGGAGCTATTATTCATTATCATCCTACTGCTGAGACAGATAGAGCTCTTACCACGGAAGAACTGTATCTGTGTGACTCTGGTGGGCAATACAAGTAAGTAAGAAAGATCGTTGAAAATGCAAATACTTCAATTGACTCTGAGCTCTTCAACTATTAAAAGAAAATCAATTAGTTTTTTCTGGTCAGTGTGTGAATTATTGCTTCTCTTAAATGCAAAATGTATAAATTAAAAAGTTGTTCTTTTGCTTAAATGAAAAACAATGCTTAATCATTATGTAATTTTTTATTCAGGGATGGTACAACGGATGTAACACGAACCATTCACTTTGGTACGCCATCACAGCATGAGAAAGAGTGTTTTACAAGAGTTTTCAAAGGTCAATTCTTTTTAGGGACCAGTATATTCCCTACAAAAATTAAGGTACAAGATTGATTGTGTTCCAAAAATATTTATTCTTGTATTTGTTGTAAGATTAACATGTATCTTGCATCTTTCATTAATGGATTTTGCTTTTAGGGCAATTGTTTAGACACGTTGGCTCGGAAATTTCTTTGGGATATTGGTTTGGACTACTTGCATGGAACAAGTCATGGCATTGGCTCTTATCTAAATGTTCATGAAGGGCCAATGATGATCTCATGGCGTCTTTGCCCGGAAGACCCAGGACTTCAAGAAGGGATGTTTTTGTCTAATGGTAAAGTTATAGAATGTATTGGGGGTATATGGCAACATATGACTTTAACCATGCGACCATGCAAAGGGACCATGCGACAAAACGTGATTTTGATACAAGCGTAACAACAAATGTCTCCTGTTCTCAAATCTGTATCTTTAGCCCTTTTGCTGTTGTGGACTCTGGGTGGCTAGATGTGGCCAAATCATTGCCATAAGCAGGTTTTCCTGATTGAAAACGGGTAAACCAGGCAGGATATGCACTCACACTCCCACTTCACACAAGATTAGTGAAAAAAGGGATATTGCCAATGGCCATTGTAGGACCTTACAACATTCTTCTGAGAAACTGTAGTGTACTGCCTTCAAACCAAAATGCAACTAATGAGATGAAGAATAGTACTAGTGGCCCAACTTTTCTTGTACAAATTATATACAAAACTTGTATTGAAGTATTACCAGTGTAATTGCCTGTTCAGTGTATTTAGGAATAAATAAAAATCTTCAGCAGCAAAAGGGTTATGAAGGTTATTGCAATGAATGCTTGTAACGTCATGACACTCGTAATGGTATCTCGCACCTTGCAACATTTACTTCAACCTGATTCTTTGCAAACATAAAACATATACAATAAAATAAAGGCATGTTCATTGTGGATCATGATTTTGTTACTGAATTTTACAATCCATTTAAATTTACCTTGCAGAACCTGGCTATTATGAAGACGGAAAATTTGGAATCCGTTTGGAGAACATAGTTCGAGTAATTCGTGCAGCAACACCACACAATTTTAAAGATAGAGGATTCCTTACTTTTGAAACAATAACTCTTGTACCGATCCAAACAAAGATGTTGGAACCAAGTTTACTTACAGAAAAAGAGGTGAGTCCTATCAGATTTTATTCTCATATTTTTTTTAACCTAAAGATGCCTAAAAAAGGCTGCTTCTAGAGATGATCCCTCAAAGATGTGTGATAGAGGTTTGGTAAGTTGGATAGAGAGTTGGTAAATTCTGGAATTATTACTTTTCATGTATCTTAACATAAGAGAGTGAGACCAGTTCGAGTGGCATACAGTTTAACAGCTCTTGATGTTGCCATTGTTATTAGGCCACAGTTGCTCTTAGAGCCTCATATCCTGTAGATCCATGTAGTTTGAAGCATGAGGTTTCCTATCTACTTTGTATAAATTTTGATTTTCAATTCACAAAATTGGCTTGAACTCATATAACAAGGTGCTGTAACAACAAACATACTTTTGAATTATTAGTAATGTAATATAATATTGAATCTTCTTTCCTACTATCACTGCAGCCATTGTTCAAAAATCTTTTAACTAAGGCATCAGAGGGGGGAAAAACACCCTTTTTATTAACTCTTTAGAAAATTGAAAAGTTTTAAGTGTAAATTGTGATTTAGTTAATAGAATGTTTGAAGAAAAAAAACAACTTTTTTTGAAGGCTATGACTTGATTTAAGCAATAAAGTTCATGAAGCAAGAGTTATTCCCCAATGCTACAGAATCATGCAATACAAGCAGTGCATTTCAATCTCGTAATGAAATCTTGGGACATTGCAGTGATAGTAATATATTCTCATGTTTTAACTCAAAATTATGCAAAAATGACTACTATTTTCATAGTTTTCATGAAACTGTTTAATAACCTAATATTGAGAAATACATTGCATTAGAAAAGAAATATCAAGCTTCAATACACCTTCAAGCTTGGAAGTCTAGGAATGTTTGAAAAAATTGAAATTGAAATTGTTTTTGAAATTATTGAGGTTTTAATGAAAATCAGACCTGCATCATATTAAGTGAATGTTGATGAATTTGGACATGTCTTCTTCCAATAGCATTACAGCTTGGTATGTGCCTGAGTTGCCTTCACAATATGTGCCCATTCTCCTCTTTTCTCTGCCTTTCCCTGCCATCCAGTAATCTTCATTTTCATATCTCTGCCCACATTGTGGATCCACCTTGTTCTTGGTCTGCCCTGTCTTCCTACTCCGATTATTTTACCATGTAGCATAATTTTAGGCATTCAATCCGCTCCCACTCCCATTCTTTACATAGGATATAGCCAAAAGAGTCTACATGATCCCACAAACCTAACAGTATCCTTCCCTTTCAAAATATGATTAGTTTCCTCATTTTATCTTATTCTCCATCTCTTGCTCTTTAAGTGGACCATATAATTTTCTGATCACTCTTCTTTCAAATCAACAAGTCTCCATATCAGTATTGGTTGAAGTCCATCCTCTGCTCCATAGGTGACTACTGGACTGATCATTGTTTTTATATAGTTTGACTTCAGTTTTCCTAGTCAAAAGTACAGATTTTAGGAGTCTCATATTTACATAATAGGCTTCATTGCCTAGCATTACTCTGATTAATTTCTTCACATATGTTATTTGTAGTATTGAGGATTACTCCAAGATGTGTAAATTCACTAACTCCTTCAAAATTATATCCATTTATCTTTACATTCTGCAACCACCACCTAGATTCATTTGCTGACATTCAGAAGTACTTAGTTTTATCCTTGTTTATATACAGGCTGATTTTCTTGCAGATTACACTCCCACACTCTGTAGACAGAAAACCATGAGTAGAGAGAGCCCTGGAAGGTGTAGTGAATATAATCCCTATAGGGGAGTAAACCCTATTCTAATCCTGGTCTCCCAGATTGGGGGTTGGTCATAGGGCGAACAAACCATACCATCAAAACACACTGTTCAGAAACTTAAAAATAATCAGGCAATTGGAAAAAGAATCATGACTTATATTTTGGTACGTAGAATGTATTATCTTTGAATAGGACTCGAGCTCCAACTAATCTTTGGGAAGCCTTAAAGAAATGTAGAGTAGGTATATTTGCAATGCAAAAAGTGAGATGGAAGGAAGAAGGAATAAAAGAATTTGGAGGGTATATTATCTGTAATGGTAGTGCAACCAAAGCAAGTAGTGAACAAAGAGATTTATTTATTTAAAGTATTTATAGGCAACAGTACAACTGGTGTAGCCTGAATCATCACTAACATGATTCATAATTGACATACTGTACATTGAAGGTATTTTAGTCTTAGTAAAGGTTAATGAATTACAAAAAGCCTAATAGCATTTAAAGTTACAAAGGTTACAAAATGCCAAAAGTTACAGTAGTAGTAGTAGACAATAGTAGGATAGTGCTTCATTAATCAGTCGTAAACCCTCTTGAACGCTTCAAAGTTTGGAGCCATTGCCACATCTGACAGTAGGTTATTCCAGTTTTCAACTATCCTGTTGCCCAAAAAGTGTTTGTATTGCAGGAGACTATGCCAAGTAGTAGTGAGTTTGGTATCATGGTCTCACAGATGCTGATTCTGGGTTTGCGGTTATCAGCGTTGGAAGCCCCAAAACACTTATCAGTGGTATCATCTAGTTTCATTTTTTATAAAGCTTAATAGGTATATGGCGTGATACCCTTCTGTGATCTTGTGTATCTAACAAATTTCAGGTCTGTAATAAGTATAGGGTTCAAACATTCGTTTGAACCGAACTCCGATTCTTACGGAGAGAATGTAATTTTAGGTATAAATAAAGTTTGTATATGGTGTCACTTCGTGATTAGTGTTGAAGACATCCCTGCAGAGGAGATAAATTGCTATATTAGCCTTTTTAGTTATGTAGGAATTGAGATTTCCCCATTTCAAATAATTTGAAATCATGAATCCCAAGTCCTTCACACGTGTACAGCGGCAAGGCATTCTCCACCCAGGTATTATTATATTTTGGGATTGGATTTCCCTATATGCATGATTACACGTTTAGCTTCATTTAGTAGTATCATCCATCTTTTTGACCCATTTGTAGAGATTGTGCCTGGAGAAAATAGTACGAAATATAAAGATCAATCCTAACAGAACAATTTTGAATAAAACAGCACAAATTTTTGCTTGTGTAGATGACATGGTGATAATTAATAGAACAGACACGGAAAAAGCACTACAGCAATTGATGGAACTCAAGAAATGGGTTTGGAAATAAATGAAGAGAAAACAAAATATATTAAAACAACAAGAAGTATCAGTAAACCAAAATACATGACACTAGGAATCAAAAATATTGAATGGGTGAATGCCATTGAAAACTTAGGTTCTCTAATCACTGAAAACAACATCATAGAGCCAGACTTAAAGAAGAGAATAGCAGTAGGGAATAGATGTTATGGAATTCTCTACTAAATCTTTAAAAGCCAAAGAATCTTAAAGAATGTGTAGCTGAAATTTTATAACACCATTATTAAGCCAGTGGTATTGTATGGTAGTGAAACATGGACAGTAACAAAGAAAACAGCAACAAATATACTTGCGAGAGGGAAGGGAGAGAAAAATCTTAAGAAGAATAGTTGGTCCTATTAAAGAAAATGAAATCTGGAGAAGTCAAACCAATGCAAAATTAGAAGAACTATTTAAAACACACTGAGTAGTTACAAGTATTAAGGTGAAAAGTCTGGAATGGTTGGGTCACCTAATTTTAATGAATGAAGGTAGAGCCATTAGAAAAGTATTTGTAGGGAGCATGGCCGGTAGGAGAGTAAGAGGTAGGCATAGATTAAAATGGAAAGATGAGGTGGAGGAAGATTTGAGAAACCTAGCTTTTAAAAGATGATGAAGAAAAGCAGAAGATAAAAGAAATTGGGCTGTATTAATAGAAGAAGCCACAACAAAACTATAAGTGCCGCAGAACTGATAAAAGATGCCACAGGATGCATAATATATTATTGTGATACATATCTGGCTGGGAAATCAGCTAGTAATCTACATATGCAAGACTGACGTTACAACATGGCAAGACTGCCATTGACTACATATGCAAGACTGCCATTACAACTCAAAGAGAGAGATAATCAACGAGAAACTTTAAAAGTTATATTAGAAGAAGAAAAGCATCGTGGTAACTTTTCCCCTTTTCAAGTAAACCTACAAATGTTCGTCTTTTTCAGTTAGTTTTTGATATTTGAATCAGTACTTAGAGATCATCGAAGTATTATTAAGAAAATACTTTCCAACGATGAACAGTAAACATAATACATATATACAATTTCATTTTTACATTTACTATATTACAATTATATTATATATAGGCATTCAGATAGCAGTCTCTCAGTTTGGAAATAATCACAGAGCATGGATAAAAAATTCCTTATAAATAACATTAATAATATACCTTGTTATAAATTATTGCAAAGCAATAAAACATGTTCACCTATTCCATGTTTGTAACTTTGAAACTTATTTTCTTAATTTCACATTCAACATTTTTGAATTCAATAACATTAAAATTCTACATGAACCCTATTTCCATTTTTATTTAACAAGTACCTAACCAACCACCTGTACAACAATCATTGTTGATACATAAAATAAACATTTTTGTCTTCTTTAATTTGCTCATCTCTTATCCAAGGGCTCAGCTTTCCCTTAAAAAGCCAGTCATAGGACATCCAAGTGACCTTGTTTTCTTCAGAAGAGGTCCAACTTTTTCAACGTGCACATAACTATACGGTACTGCATTTCAAATAAGAAATCTGCAACAACTATAAAAATGTGTTCAAAGAAACATGTTACATACCATTATTCTTGTCTTAAGTCAATATAACATTCAACTGATGCAAAGTAGGCCATCTACAGGTTATTGTAGAATGTTGCAACACAAAAGTTCACCATGTCCTATTGATAACTATTTTCTTCAAAAATAGGTCACTTAGTATGAAGTTAAAACTTTAATTCAAAAGTGATAAAGACTACATCAAAGTTAACTCTAGCAATACAAGAAGTATAAATAGATTGCCTCTTCCTAAAGGAGTGGCTGAATGAGAAATTAGAAGGATGCTGAAAA